CGAAACAATAATAGTTGCCATGAGGCGTATGCTATCCCCCTCTCTCTGAATTTTGTGAGCAGTATCTCTGGTCAACTAGCAATTTCGGATGACTAAATTTTATCATGTTCTTAACTCTATTTTGTTATATGTTTAGGCAGGTAAAGAAATATTTTATAATATTAGCATTTTCTGCTTCTTTTTCGATAAAAGGAATATATTAATATCGCGAAAAAAGCTTACTGTCTTACTACTTGCTCCTAATCTCCTATGATGTTTGTTGCTGGGCCAAGCCCACTTGTAGTGGCCCACTGTGAAAGGCCAGCGTCTGGCTCCTCTGCTCCTCCTCATCCCCTCCGCCGCCGCGCTGCTGCTCAACCAGAACGGAGAGCTTGCAAGATCAGCGTTGCGGTCCACACGCTCGGCCCCGCAAGGTCGCCGCCTCTGTGAAGGCCGCCCCACCGAATAAGAAGAAGGGGAAGAAACCAAACCTCGTCACGGGCGAGCGGCATGAAGAGCTTCCCTGTGGCCGGCGGCCGCAGCGTCTCCCTCGCCCTCTTCTCCGATGTCTCCAACAGCCGGTGCGTCTCCTCCCCCCTCTCCCTTCACCCTTGCTTCAGTAACCCATAAGTTGTGCGTCTGGGGACAGAGTTCTTGCTCGCTCATGATTACTGACGATGCTCGATATGAACACAGGGAGCTCCTAGATCTGATGCAGTCAGGGAAGCTGGAGCCGGAGGCCGCTTTTCTCAATGCATCACTGGTACTGTACCACACTCTACCATTCTTTTGATGCTAAATCCCCAGTCGCTGCAATTGAGGATACCAATTAGTTAAGTCGATGCAATGTCAGGTGCCGGGCGTGTTCCCGGTCCTCGCGGCGGCGCACAAAGCGCTGCTCTCCAAGTCGAGGGAGTCGCTGACCACGAGAACCCTGCACTCGGAGCTTGTCTACAATTGCTCTGGCTCGAAGCATGTGGGTTTCTCTAGTTGTTATTATTTCCTTCTCTTTCAGAGAATTATTGTTACTTTGGATGTACTTGATCTTGCATTACATGATGATGACATTGTTCTACCACAGTTTGCTGACAGTTTGCTTGGTTCTGTGTTTTTTTAGATAACTGAGTCCCTAAAGCGGTGCGGTATCGCTGATGACACGCAGTATATCCTTGCGGCTCGGTTTGATGCTTCAGATGAAGAGGTATAATGTTCAGGATGCACCCCTTGTTCAGTCATGGTTTTGAACCTGTCAGTTTCTTGCGAATAACCCTGCTTGATCAGTTTCTTGCTAATTGCCTGAGCTTGAGTACCACAAATTTGAAGTTTCGAACTTTCTTGCCCTGACGGTTGTAGTGTAAAACTGAAAAATCTTTCAAAACCTAGCTGAAACTTTCTTGCTTTGGACATTTAGTGTTGGTACTCTAATTATGGGCCTTGAATCAAGAGCTTCTTGTGATGACTCAAGATTTCAGTAAATAACTTTTAAGCGTTTTATGTGCATCAGTCTGGTTCCTATTACCAATTATTGGGATATCTGAAGAAAAAAAACATTATACGAAACCGAAATTCTCATGGCAAACTGATATCTTTGATTCCATATCTGGGTAAAAGAAAAATTGTGGGACCATCTTTCAGTTACTACAAAATATGAAGTTCAAAAGGAACAGTTTGAAATGAAAGTGTCTTCTTATATATGTTTGATCATAATATACCAAAATCACCTATCCTAGTAATGTGCATAGCAGTGTGGAAGAACTGCAGAACATGCCTGCAAACATTTTCTGAAGAACTGATGGGGCTCATCTCCCTCTCCTGCTCAATGCAGACCACTCTAGTGTTAGTACTCTAAGTATGGGGCCTTGAGTTAAGAGATTCTTGTAATTGTAATCACTCAAGATTTTAGTAAATAACTTGAAGCGTTTTATGTGCGCCACAATCTGGTTCCTGTTACCAATTATTGGGATATATGAAAAAAAAACATTATATGAAACCAAAAGTATACTTATATCTTTGATTCCATATCTGGGTAAAAAGAAATTGTGGGGCCAATGGGCCATCTCTGAGTTACTACAAAACATGAAGTTCAAAAGGAACATTTGGAGATGCAAGTGTCTTCTCATAGATGTTTGATCATAATATACCAAAATCACCTATCCTAGTAATGTGCATAGCAGTGTGGAAGAACTGCAGAACATGCCTGCAAACATTTTCTGAAGAACCAATACGAAAGAACTGATGGAGCTCATCTCCCTCTCCTGCTCTATGCAGACCACTCTAAATGTGTCAGAAGCACTATGAGATGAATTGAACAAGCAGTGTTACTGTATATGGTGCTCTTGAAATAAAATGTTACTTTCAGCGTGCACCCCCAGCTTCATACCATTTATATTCCTTATATACATCATTATCATTCTGAATGGAGGAATTCGAACAACCATCAAGTGTGAACTGGTTACATTGCAGATGAAAGCTCTGGAAAAGCTCATCAGCGGAACCGAGATTGATCTGTCGGAATTGGAGACAAGAGCAGACCAACCAAAGATTCTGAAGGTTTTTCAGCTGGACACTAGCTATATGACTCTTGAGTATCATAATTATTTTATCTTTCCTTTTCCTTGACTGAATATCCCTTTTCCCTACTGGCAGCAATACAAAATAACTCCACAAGAATTATCAATATCTACACTGCCAGAGGCAATCGTGTGCAGGATTGCTGCTCGAGACGCCCTCTGAGGTCTTAAAAACGATGGCCAGGACGTTCTGCAGCTGTGTGTGTCAAATTCTTTGGACGATCACCGCATCTGCCGCACCTCCTGTCGATGGTCAAGATCGTGGCGGCAGGATGTTTCAACTCATGAACTTAGGAATTGCATTACGGTAACATTCAGTCCTGGATGCTGTAGCGACAACTGAATAATATGTATGGTCACATGCTCACGGCTTGAGTGTTTCTAAGATCACTTCATCAAGATTTAATGCAAGCAACCTTCAGTTGATATCGCGATGTTGACTCGGATCTGTTGTTTCGGTGACACTGCAGAACATGAGTAAAATCAGCGAAATATGTGTGGCCTGGGTCCATTGGTTTTATGGCTTTATCATGAACATAATGATGCGGTACTACTGGGATGATGTTTGCCTCCATCTTCATGTAATGGTTCACGTGTGTGTGTTCTGTCCAATGATGATGTTCCTGCAAGTTTGCCAGCATATCCTCGACTGTTTCTTTCAAAATTTACATGGATATCCTGCATCCCAAGGATCTGGTCGCTCACTGGCTTGGCTTGGCTGTGTCAGTGTCACTTGGCTGTTGCTAATTCTTCAGCTAGGCAACAAGATCTGATCTCTGCGGCTGAATTCTTCCCACTAGCAGCTCACCACACTTTCAGGCTTCTTTGTAGGCCATGGTAGCAGTTATTGTCAGTTAGTTTTTATTTTATACTATTACTGGCTGCTCCATGGTTGCCAAAAAACCTCCTTGGAATATACCCAGCACAACAATCATAGACCACATGACTGGGTGAAAATGACTCAGATCTGATTTCTCAGCCAAACCAATCCAAGAAAAACAAAAACAAATTTATGCATTATTGTACTAGCCTTGTAAGAGGGCTCACTTGACCAGGTAAATCCATTTTTACACACAAGATTTGGACTTCCGAATTCTGATATTGTTGTGCTCTAGTAGTAGGGGCAGTGCGTATTTCAGAAAAAGAAAGTAGGGGTCAGTTTTCCAAAAAATAAGGAAGTAGGGGCGATGCCCAAAGCTAAAAAATAATCCATTGTTTTCAACCCTACCCTATTTTTAATTCTTGTGCAAGCACAGTTATTTTCTCTGGGTCACTCTCGTGAGTCTTATCGCAAAATTTCGCTCTCTCACTTATCACTGCACTGAAAGCACACTGGCATTATTGACCTCTTCTTCTACACCAATTACTACTACTAAGACTCCAAGCATTTTTTTTTTCAAGTTATTCTCAACACTGCCTGTACATTTAGCTTGGCGGGCAGTGTTAAATAAACAAATCCCAGCTGCACACTTGCACATCACCAGAGATTTATTGGATTATGTGCGAAAGATTTGGGTTTTTGCCACAGCCAATCATGCATCAACCATTCATTTACTATCTCAGGCATCCTTGAAAAATATACTACTAGTATCATTCATCAACATATGCTTTGCAAAGTTCCCTCCAATATCCCCAACGGAATATCCCCTCGAATTCTCCCACTTCTCTTCTCTCTCTCTCTCTC